CACACACACACACACACACACACACACACACACACACACACTCTGCAGTACCCGTTTTGTGTTTGTCGGGGAGCGTCAGGTGCAGGAGCCCCAGCAGGAAGTTCAGCAGTTCTGGGAAAAACCTCTGAGACAGAGAGACGAACTCCAGCGCTAGACAGCAGAGGATCAAACCCTTACACACGTCCTCCAGAGAGACGACAGCACACTGAAACACACACACACACACATCAGGACAGACCAGGAACACAGTCGAGCTCCGCAGGGAAAAATGACATTGGTTTCCTCCACAGAGAACGGATTTGTAATAATAAAGTAGAGCTGCACTGATCTGAATAATGACTCAATTGTCTTCTGTAGAGTATTGTCTTCATATCTGATGAATTTTGCAGCATTAACACTTAATTATTATTCTGTTTATAACCGAGCAGCTGTATAAAGCACTATAGAAATAAAGGTGACTTTAATAAAAAACATTAATACACAGATCTACCGTGAGCTACAAAGTTAATCAATGGTATTTGCTTTTGTTGAAGCCATCAATCCACTTTGTCAACTTAAAAAGCAAGTTTAACAGCAGAATTCCTGTATTACCCATGATTCTGCCAAGAAACATCCAGACTAGAGAATAATCACAGCTCTGCCGTCCCATGATGCACAGGGTAAACATATCTGCATACTGAACTAACTTATAAGATACTGCTTCTACATACAATCAATAACTTTAATTGAATAGTTTTATATTTATCCATTTTTAATTTGATTGTAATTCTTCATGGTGTTGTTTTAGTATTATTTATATACTATTACAGTATTTAATATTTTGAATAAAGTTTTATTGGTACATATTCATTTTAATTTTAAGTTGAAGCAGTTTTGTTATTTGCTTTAATGTTTTTAATAGTTTATTTCTATTTAGCTTTGTTTTTATATCATTTTAGTAATTTTAGTACTTTATTTCAGTTAGTTGCCAAAGCAACATTTTAAATGTTTAGGTTTTTTCAACCTTGTTTTCCATCTAATATGTATATTTTATTTCATCTTTTTTGTAATTAATTCGTTTTTTTTAATAGTTGTAGTTTCCATCAATAACACTGATGGGATTGTAGTCCTTTTCCTCATTAAACTCATTAAGTTCAAGTCTTGTGTGTTTGTCTTTTCGATTTTTCTGCTTCAAATCAAAGTTTATAATGTTTATAATGATTGTAGTTAGCTGGTTTGGTTTGTGGTTTATAACAACTTTTTCAAACTCTTTACAGGAAAAATACGTCTAGAATCAAGGCTGCTGAAAAAGTGGGTGTATAACTACATAAAGCACCATCCACTCATTACAGACACAGACCCTGGTGAGCGCCTGACTGATGTAGAGGAACGCTGGAGTCGTCACCGGATGTCTGAAGTCTGATGTGGGGAACAACAGCGCCGTGATCTTCAGGAGGACCAGCTGCGCGCACACACACACACACACACACACACACACACACACGATGAGCTCAGGATCAGCCTCTCGTCTCTGTATCTGTGCTCCTGTGTCAGTCCATCTGCGCACCATGTCCAGATCAGGCATCGGTGCTCGACCTTTGACCTCCAGCGTCTCCTCCATGCTGTGGCCGCTGTCGCTGAGTAACGTCTGCACGGCTTTACACGCGGCCTCAGGAAACATCTGACACAGACCGCAGATCTGACTGCAGAACACACACACACACAAATGAACAGACCGCAAGCTCATGTCATCTCTGTGTGTGTGTGCGTGTGTGTGAGTGTGAGAGAGAAAGAATGTGTGTGCGCGTGTGTGTGTGAGTGCGAGTGTGAGAGAGAGAGTGTGTGCGCGCGTGTGTGTGTGTGTGCGTGTGAGAGAGAGAG